AGAAATAGCCATTAAAGCAATAAAAACCCAAACAGTAGCCAGTAGAGGCCAAGGAATCGCCCGAGAAGACACAAGACATTAGTATAGCACGAAAAGTCCACAGCAAACCTACACGCGAAACCAAGGCACTGGGACAACATCAGACAATACTGCAGAAGGAAAAAAAAAAACTAGCCCCACGAGGCAAGGACCGACAAACAACACCGAGATTTTCCACAACAGCAGAACCACGTGTAGTAAGACGCACAGGGCCCAAGGAGGGAAAGGCGCAGAGGGGAGGCGGGGTCGGCGGGGGGTTGGTGGGGTTGGCGCGCCTTTGACTCCTTGGGCTTGCGCGGCAGCACCGCGCTGAGCGTCGCCTCGAAGAGCTCCTGTTCACAGCTGCAGGTGTGAAGAGACGCCGTTCACAGCATGACATGAGCGTCGCCTCGAAGAGCTCCTGTTCAGAAACGGAGTCTCGCGTCCGCCGCCCCCCGTCTCCCGTCGCGTCGCGTCAGGCGGCGGCGCCATCGCGGTAGAAGGGCATCCCGCTCGGGTGCTCTCCATATCTCCCCATATCTCGCGCCATATCTCCCCATATCTCGCGCCATCGCGTAGAAGGGCATCCCGCTCGGGTGCTCCCCATCTCTCCCCATATCTCGCGCCATATCTCCCCATATCTCGCGCCATCGCGTAGAAGGGCATCCCGTTCGGGTGCTCTCCAAAGGCGACCAGGCAGACGACGTGCGGGTGGCGCAGCCGGGCGAGGACGGCGGCCTGGGGGAGCACGGCTCGGACATGTCATGGACGCGTCCATGTCCAGCACACGGGTGAGGCAGCGGGGCGGAGCGGAGGTCCCGAGAGGTGGGCAGAGATGGGGAGAGGTGGGGAGAGATTGAGGAGAGATGGGGAGAGGTGGGGAGAGATCGGGGAGAGATTGAGGAGAGATTGAGGAGAGATGGGGAGAGCTGGGGAGAGGTGGGAGAGATTGAGGAGAGATGGGGAGAGGTGGGGAGAGGTGGGGAGAGCTGGGGAGAGCTGGGGCGGCCGCCTCCCGCCGCAGGTCCGAGACGGCGATCTCGGTCACCTGTCGCCCCGCCTTGAGCACCTTGACTCCCACCCTGAAGGTGAGGCCGTCCGACCCCCGAAAGACCGCGGCGCTCACGTCGCAAAACTCGCCCGACGCGAGCTTCGCGTGCTGCCGGAAGTCGGCAAAGGGTGTGCGGCCGGCGGCGGGCACCTCGAGCGCTCCCGCCTCCCACCCGAGCGCCGCGCACTCCGCGCGCAGCCTCGCACTGCTAGAACTGAGGATCTCGGAATCGACGGCCGCCATCGAGGCCTCGTTGTCCACGACCGAGTCTGCCGAGCTGGTGGAGGGAGTCGCCGGCCCCGACGTGGCGGGAGTAACTTGGCCTGGCGTCGCCGCCCCGGCGCGCGTGGTGCTGCTCTTGCTGTCACTGCCGCTGTCTCTGGATGACGACCGGAAAAGGCCCATCCGTCCCGTGTTGGTGCACTAGTCGGGCGTTTGCGCGCTCGTGTTTCCGCCGATGACTTGAGCTAAAAGAAAAACCCGCGCGTGGTCACCGACTGCTCAGGGGAACAGAGATCGCTTGAATGCCGGCATTCAAGCGCGACAGTGCTAGCCGCCTCCGCGATGCTGAGCGGTGCATGAAGGGCGGCGAGCCGCTGACGATGCGCGAGGCGTCCTTCATCAGCTCGCTGATGGGACACGCCCAGCACATCGACGCGGCCACCGTCCGGTTCACCATGCACATCGACGGCAGCCTCGACGGGCAGATCAACTTGAAGTCCGAGTACACACGGGAGCTGGAGCGCGCGGAGCGCGAGCGAGCGGGCACGTGCGCCGCCGCCGCGCCCGCCGCCGCGCCCAAACCACCATGCTGCGATAAGTGTATGTCGACTGTGGAACGCCCCCTCTACTCGGAGCTAACAAACACCAGACACGACTCCACGCACGCTCTCATCCGACATCGCCGCCCAGGACGCTTACCGCGAAAATTCTTTTTCTCGCGATGTCTGCCCGGCGCCGTTATCTAGGGACCCGAGGATATAACCCTTGTTAGGAGAAGAATTCTACGAATACAAGCCCCTCTCACAGCAGACTGGCACGAACTAGCACCACAAAAGGCACAGCAGACAACGGCCCCTTATGGGCCGTCGAAGAGGCCGTCATACTCCTCCGGCCTCATGAGAAGAAAATACATCGGAGGCGCTATGCGCTGGTCTACCTACCTACCTACCTACCTGGTCGTGTGAGAGGTTGACAGACGTGATCTGTGATCTGCTCCACCCATACCGCGTTGGTGTCCCGCTCGTTGGTCGGACTGTGTTTCGCCTTCCCATCAATGTATGTTGACATTGATTGATCAATGTATGGTGATGAGGAGTCAGGCCGCGCTGTTGGCGGCGGGACGGACGTAAGATAATGAATCAATCAATGATGAGAATCGGCGAGGGACTGCGAAGGGAGATAGAAAGAGGCAGACGACCAAGGGTTAGGGTGGGCGAGGGCTAGCACCACACTCCTCTCCTTAAAATCCCTGTGTGGTGGCGGCGTGCCGTCCTCCCATCCCTCCCTTGGGTTGTCTGTTTTCTTTCTTCCTTTCTGAGGCTTATGACACCGCACTCCAAGTGCTCCAAGGACGCGGCGATACACTCCCAAGCTCTCTTGCGACGAAAGGCGAGAGAAGCAGCGAGAGCAAGGGAGCGGCAGGCGGCGGCGGCCGCCATCGCAGAACGTTCCAGAGGAGAGCGACGCGACAGAGGAAGAAGCGACAGGGATGGGGCATGACAGAGTGGTCGGCGGCGGTGGGGCTCCAGACAGAGTGGTCGGCGGTGATGGCGAGGTTATGCCAGCATCCAGCCGACACAGCGATGGCGCGCCGGCCAGCCAACCGACAAGCGATTCCGCGACAGCCGACATGTACACACCACTGTGTTTTTTATTCGTAGAAAAAAGAAAAAACTGATGCGGCCAGTTTTAGCTAACTGGCAGAGAAGGGAGAGGGGGTTGTGTTCTCTAGGCCCCTAGGGGCCCTACGCGCGGCGTGAGAGCTCTCTCTTCTGTCCGTTATCTAGCTCTTAAGTACATTCTGCGATTCTGGAGGAGGACTGCTGACAGGGCTTGCGATGATGTGGGCGGCGTTTGGCTCCGGTGGTGAGCCTGTGTGTGTGCCAGTCCGCGCCAGTCTGCGCCCTTGTCGTGCCAGTGTGCTGTGAGAGAGGCTTGTGTCTTAGAATTCTTTTTCTTGTCGCCTCGCGGCTGCGCGCTGCCGCCGCCCCCTCGCCAGGCACGCCGCCTCATACCCGCCTCCTCGACCTCCCCACGGAGCTCCTCGTGCGCGCCCTCTCCCGCTGCGACCCCGCCGACATCGCTCGCGTCGCTGCCGTCTCGCTG